GGTCATGTCTCATCCAGCCCCTGCTCAAGGCAGGGTCATCCTGCACTGACCCAGCCCAGCCCAGTGTTTGTCTGCCCTGCTTTACAACATGCAGCAGGTAAAGCTGGGGGCGAGGACAGGAAGGAGGCTTTTAACTCCAGCTTGTGGGACAAGCCAGAGCTAAAGCAGCCAGTCCAGTTCCTCTCCGCTCCATCCTTCTGGCAGAGGCTTCCTCTTAACCTTGCTGTCCCCTGCCCCATGACTGGGCACCTGGGGTTGGGGGTCTTCCCTGAGAGCACATGCAGCAGGGCCACCTGGCTCATGCCTGGCTTCAGTCTTGGTGCTGTCCTGGGTGCCACGTGGGCGACGGGGGCTGATGCAGTTTTCAGATTAGCATTAACGGGAAATGCTTGAGGCTCCATTCCAGGACCCATGTGGTGACACCACTCCCACCCAGTCGTTCATCTCCTGCCTGCACGTGTCTGTGGGGTGTTCTGTGACCCAGGTCCTTGCCCTGCCTTGCTGCAAAGTGACAGCTGTGTTTCCCTTAGCGGGGAGGCTAATGGCTGCAGGAAGGGAGTGCAGGATTGTTGCCAGTGCCGATTTGCGGGGTCAGGTTCAGTGGCAATAACATGCTTGTGCTCACATTTGCCTGATTAAAAGCCTTGGCCTGCTTTAAATGGAATGCATTGGAGCTGAGCCCCGGCAGGATGCAGAGCCTGGCAGGCACTGTCCAGGGGGGTGGGGGAGGCATTGGCCGCAGCCAGCAAAGCTGTTAAGTTGCAGTGGCTGGACACGAGCAGAACTAGCGTCTTCTCTGACCCAGGCTCCCACTTTGGGGATAAAATCTTTTCCTCCATGCCCAGTTCCCCACTCGGTGGACACAGCGGTGGGAATGCCTGCCTGGCTGGTGCCTGCACTGGGCTCAGATCCAGCAGCCTCGCTCCCGCCCCAGCTGCAGCTAGATAGGAATGGCTGGAGAGATTTTCTCCTCTTAGTCAAGGCGGCTGAGATTGAATTTCCTTCAAGCTCTTGACTGAGTTATAAGATGCCACTAGCGCTATTCCAACCAGCCCATCTCATCCTCTTACAGGCAATTGTCTTTTTCCCTGGGAGATGCATTACTGCCAATGCAATTATGGTTTGAGATGCACGGCTTGGCTCTGAACTGAATCCTGCCCTTGATAAGATTGTGAGCTGACAGCTGAGGTCTGGGGGAGGCAGCAAGGCGCTGGCTAGCAGCTTCGCCTGGTACTGATTATCGTAAGACTCTAATATCCTCCTGGGAGATGGGTCTGGCATCAGGTCAATGCCCCCTGCTTCCACTTCATTATAAAATGGGCTCCATCACTTGAGCAGTGGGGCAGGCCTCGGAGCTGCCGTGTTTCTGTGTGCCCTTGGTCAAGGGGCTCGGGGCTGTTTTCCCCAGGGTGGTTGGTCACTGCCCCTGTCCTGCTGAGCTCTGTGCTTGCAGCACACAGGGCACTGAGCCTCCAGACTTGGGTTCAGGCCCCATCCCTGTGTCTTGTGTGACCCTGTGCGACCCCTGCCATAGCCCTGGTTTGCCTTGGAAGTTCTGGTTGAAGCACCTCTGAGAGAGGCCTAAGTTGGTGAGGTCTCCCATTCCCTCCCCTGGGGAACCCCACAGCAGTGTTGGGTATCAGCACAGCTAGGGGCCGTGCCTGGTTTCTGACGGGGGCTTGCACATGCAGTGGGGAGCTGTGCTGGTGTTGTGTCCCTTTTCAGGATGCTGGTGAGCCTGGGCAGAAGTGCTTTGAGCCACTATTCGCTGTCCCCACCTCTGCTAAATGCTGCTCTTAAGCTCACCTCTCCTGGCTATTCAAGACCGAGGGAAAAGGGACCTGACCAGATCTACCCTCACATATTCCTATGGGAATGGTATTAGGGGAAGATGGCCAGATGTTCCCCACGTGAGGGTTGCCCTGGCTGCTGCTGCCACTGTCAAGACCTGCAACGGGCACCAGGTCAGTCCAGCTGCAGATGGAGGAAGGAGAACAGCCAAACTCCTTCTGTAAGGGTCCCCCTTCCCTCCCGCCCTGGGCACTGCCTACCGCTGCCACCATCCCTGAGACCCACGACAGGCACCAGGTCACTGCAAGCGTTCTGTCTCCCTTGATGAGATGGCCGATGTTTGCGGCTGTCAGCCCGGCCCGAACCCTGATGCCTGCATGTTCCCTGCTTGTATAGGGTTGGTGCGACCGAGTCTGCACAGGAGAGTGGTTTTGCTGGTCTGCCCAACTCAGGGCACAAGCAGGAGTGTCTTGCCCACGTCCAGTGCTTGGTGACATAACAAGCCCTGTGTCCTCTCCAGGACGGATGCCCATACCCGGGAATTGCTGGAGACAGGAGGCAGGAAGAGTGCCAAGGCAGAACACAGCTCAGTGTGGGACTGGGCCAGCAAGATACCGGGGACACCCAGCTCCTCCCCAGCTTTATAGGACAAGAAGCAGAAGTGGCTCCTGCCCTCTCTGTTCTGTGCCACTGTGCAGTCCCTGGGGGCTGCCGGGGCCATTTGATTGTGTCCCCTGGCCCTGGGCTGTGTGACACAGGCTGTCTGCTTGTCCAGGTCTCTGCTGAGTACAGAGGCAGCGCTGTGCTGTTAGACTGGTCTCCACGGGCGTGCTTAGCAAAGCTCTGGAGGAAGAGACTGTGGCTCAGGAGGGGAAAGTGTATGTGCTTCAATGTCAGGTTTGATGTGCTTGGACTTTGCAGGGCCATTGGCTCTGATGCGTCCGAGTTCTCGTAGATTCATAGATGTTGGGGTCAGAAGGGACCTTAGGAGATCATCGAGTCCAACCCCCTGCCCTGGGCAGGAAAGAGTGCTGACCCCAGATGACCCCAGCCAGGTGTCTGTCCAGTCCCCTTTTGAAGACCCCCAAGGCAGAGGAGAGCACCACCTCCCTTGGAAGCCCATTCCAGGTTCTGGCAACCCTCACTGTGAAGAAGTTCTTTCTAAAGTCCAACGTAAATTTGCTGTCCGTTAATTTGTGGCCATTGTTCCTAGTTACTCCAGGGGGTGCCCTAGTAAATAAAGCATCTCCTATTCCCTGCTGCCCTCCCCTGATGAATTTATAGGCAGCCACAAGATCACCTCTCAGCCTTCTCTTGCGAAGGCTGTATTTGCACTCCTCTGTAGCATTTTTCAAGCTGGTACTTCTGAAGGTCACAATTCATCTGGTATTTGAGGCAAGCTCACTGGAAATGGGGCTGAGGAGCATAAAACTGCAGTCACTCTAGTCCTGGTGCTGGCAGCAGCTGTTGCTAAAGCTTTGCATGATTAAGAAGCCCACACAGGTACCTCTCCACGGCACTCAATAATCCACTGGAGAAGCAGCCCCGGTGCTGCTAGCACCTGAGCTGCTGGCTGCTTCCCTTTGGTAGTAGGGGCTGGATGGTTGTGTATTGCTTTGATTTGGGATTGCAGCTGATGGGAGCCCAGGGCCAGGCCTGGCTGCTTGGGGGCTTGCGGTTTAAGTAGCAATGTTTTCCTCTTGGTTGGTATCATCTAACCCAGGCAGGTTGGCAGTAGCAGTAGAGTGAAGTCCAGCCCTAGAGGTAGTTCACGCTCCCTCCAGGCACAAAGAGGTGTCTCGTGGCTCCTCCAGCCTGTCTCAGGCAGGTGTGCACATGCTCACAAACCTGCCCCTGGTGACAAAGGCGTGTGGCCGGGTGCATGACCGTATCAACTGGGATGGTGTGGCCCTGCCCGCTCTCAAAACAGCATGCGCTTGGCTCTGCTCCTGAATCCCAGGTGCTCCTGCACCTGCTTGGTCTGTCACAGCCGACTGCTTTTCGTAGCCCTGGTTGTCTGGGACATGCTCTCCCTTGCTGACCTCGGGGGCACCTGGGCCCTGCAGTCTGGCTGCGTCTGTCTCTGTACAACCCCTGTCACTCCCAGGAGCTTGGACACATTTTCCCCTCGCCCCATTTCACCTGTGGTGGGATCTCTGGTTTCCTGTGACCAGATAAGATGAGCTCAGGCATGGCAATGCCCCGGTCTAGGCTTGTGACAGTGAGGCGTTCCAGCAAACATGGAAAGGCTAGCAGTGTCATCGGAGAGAAAGCCAGTGTCCCTTCCCCACCCTATGAGCCCACAGATGGCAGTCCATGCTGGGGCCGGTTCCAGAGTGCGCAGGGGAGAACAGGGCCTTGGAGGCAGAGAATGGGCTAGCAAATGGTCCTGTGCTCCACCTTGGGTGCTCCTTGCTTTTCCCCTTTGTAAAGCAATGGGAGTCCCAAAGCAAGGCAGGAGCGGAAACACTCACCCATGGGATTTATGCCTGATCTGTCCTGTCCCCTTCCACGATGCTGTGAATAAAAGCCAGCCCCGGCTGGTGCAGCATGTCTAGCACTTTGTCCTGACATCCCCACTGCAGCCGCTTGTATTAGAACACAGTAAAAGTTAACGAGCCAGAGAACTCTGGCCTAATCTCTACAAGGTGCCATCGCAGCAGCTGAGCCCTTTGAGTGCTGGGAGTTGGGGCTGCTTGTAGGCAGCAGCTCATCCCAGACCCACAGAAGTGATTGTGTTTGAAGACATGGGGGCTGATGGGGTAGGAGACAGGGATGGAAGAGCAGAGTGATGTGCTGCACAGCCCCTTCCTGCTGAAGCCAGGGGTAGCTGCTGCTGCGTGGGGTGGGGTGGGGGCGGCTGCCTCCACAAGCAGGAGAGAAGCACAGCTGGGTATAGTGGTGCTTGTTTGGGCTCCCATGAGTGAGATAGCACAGGGAAGCAGGTACAGCGAGCCTGTGTGCCTAGTCCCGCAGTAAGCGCATGGCAGCATGTGGCATGTGCTCGCTTGCAGCTTGCCTTCTTCACAGACTTTCCTTGAGGATCAAGCCTGATCCTGCTGTGAGCTGGTGCATGGAGGGGTAATGCCTCTGGCTGCTGCTTTGAAATGGCCTCTGCCCTGCCTGCAGCCCCAGTGGGCGAGCCCCTCTCTAAGCCGGCTGCTGGTTTCCATCACAGTCTCTCTTTCTCTCTCTCTGTCTCTCTGCAGCCTGCCGCCCTGGGTTTTACAAGCTGTCACCCCGGCTCACTCTCTGCACTCCCTGCCCCGAGCACAGCCTCTCCCGCCAGGAAGCCGCCACGTTCTGCACATGCCAGAAGAACTACTCCCGGTCCCCATTGGACCCGCCGTCTGCCTCTTGCACCCGTACGTCCTGTACCTGAACTCCCCCAGCAGGTGCATCGACACCTGGGTTGCAGACAGACCCCAGCACTTGCCTGCTCCTTTGGGAAGTCTCTGGTGTTGCCATAGCATAGGCAAGGTGCTAGGCACTCCTCGTGCATGCTGCATAGAGCTCCCAGCCACGGGAGGCCTGATGTCAGGTGCTGTTGGGGACAGCAGGCATCATCATCCTCTGGGGGACCAGGGTGTGCTGGGCTAGCCCATGGAGAGCACTGTCAAGTCACTGGCTTGTGTTGGGCCTGGGGCCAGCGGAGGTGCTTCACCCCTGCACTGTGTGGCTCAGAGCCTGGTTTCTCTGGCAGGGAGTGTGTTTCTGCTACACTCCCTGCCCATGGCCACGGGTAGTGTCTGGCCTTGGGTTGTTGCTTGGGTACTGTAGCTGACCTCTTGGGGTCCGGCTGTCACTCGTGCATCCTGGATCCTGGGCTAGCGGGGTGACAGTCCTCCACTGCTGCAACCGGCCGTCCCGGTGACGGGCTCTCTCTGCTTCTCCCAGGCCCGCCCTCGGCCCCACGGAATCTGGTCTACAGCCTGAAGCAGTCAACGCTGGTGCTGGAGTGGAGCGCGCCGGCTGACCTGGGCGGGCGCAGTGACATCACTTACAGCCTGCTGTGCACGTGCTGTGCTGCGGCGCCCCAGGGCCTATGTGAGCCATGCGGCAGTAGCGTGGGCTTCGTGCCACAGCAGGCAGGGCTGGTGGAGCGGACCGTCACACTGGTGAACCTGCTGCCCCACGCCCACTACACCATCCGCGTGGCAGCCGCCAATGGTGTCTCTGACTACAGCCCTTGGGTGAAGCAGCAGTACGCCGAGGTGAATGTCTCCACCGGCCTCACAGGTAAGGTTGCCATAGGCTGCACTCCCCTCTCGCTGCCCCCTCTGTCCCTCTCTGTGGGCAGGGCCTCAGGACTGGCCTCTTCTGATGCAGGAGTGAAGCAAAGGCAGGTTCCCCGTGCTTCCGAGCAGCACGGCTGGTCCCAGGGGTAGGCGAGGGTCGGAGGTGGCATGCCAGTTTTCCAGGGGCAGTTGCAGCAGGGAAACGTGTCCTTCCAGGGTGGGGGGAGCTCCATGCTGCTGCTTTCTTGACCCAGGTGGGGAGAGCTCAGGGTGCTGTGGGGAAAGCCTGCCATCTGGCATCATATCCTGCTTCTCCCTCTGCAGCTGCCTTATAAGTGTGACGTTCCTGGCATGTCTAAGGGAGATGGCTGGTCCCCCCAGCATCCCTGTAGGAGCTTGGTGCTGTCTTGGCTTGAGAGGTTTTGCCCTGATCTCGTTATGATCCTGCTCCCACAGCTGAAGCAAATGCTCTTGCTCCCTTCCCTGCTTCTCCTCTATCCTCAGGGCCTCCCCGGTGGCTCTGCTCTGGGGATGCGGTGCCTGGACTCGCCCAGCCGGACGGTAGTCACCTCTCCGCTGGCTGTTCTGTTCAGGGCAGAGCCTCTGCTCTGCTTTTATTCCTTGCTGTTTGGTGGCTTGGGTGAGAAGAGGCTGGTGGTGTCCAGGCTTGCCCTAGGGGTAAGTTCACTCAGGAGCTGGGCAAAGGAGGGTAGGCCAGAAACGCTCCCACCAGGGTTTCCCAATAGAGGGTGCTGGGATTGGGGCCAGCAAAGGCAGCCATCATTCCTGCCAGCTGTCTGGTGCTCCATGAGAGAGGAGCCAGTGCAAAGCAAGGGGTTCCTCATGCCCCCCGCAGACCCTTGCCTCTGTGGTAAGTGGGCACCCCTGGGAGGGGCCCGACATGCGTCAGTGCTGCGTGGGGAAGGCAGGCAGGACTAGGGGGTAATGGATCCTAGGAGCCATCCAGAGTCAGCACCTCCTGTCAGGCGGCTGGGGCTCTGGTGACAGATGGTGGCACGGGAGAAGCTGAGTCGCTGACTCCCAAGGAGCTCGGGAAGTTCCTTGAAATGCTTTGATTTCTGCTGCCGGAATGGGCTGTTGCGTGTGGGCGCGAACGAGTGGAGCTGCGAGGTCATTTGTGCCGGGCTGGGTTGATCCTTGGGCGATCCACTTCCTTCTGCGTTGATGTGCTGCTGTGCAAAGCAAAGGCAGCGGTAATGAGCTCGTGGCCTCTGTGGGGGAGGAAACAAGGATGCTGCCCCCAACAGGGAACTGGCGAGCCTGCCGCGTCCCCCCTACACAGGACCCCCTGCCTGGGTGGGATTGCTGCACGGGGTCAGAGCCAAGAGCAGGAGCATCTCCAAGGCAACATTCAGGAGAGAAGGAACTGTCCTCTATTGTGTTTGCAGGGGGAAGAGAGGATGCTCTTAAGTCTGTGGGATGCAAAATTAATACTGTGTTTCTTCTAATCCGGCCTCAGCATGGGGCTAATGTGGAGCGTTTGAGGCATGCGGCGCCGTCCCTGGCAGCAGAGGCGCTGCATTAGCCATGCAGACGTGCGTGGCGGGGCCAGGTCATTGGTATTCTCTGCAGGCGCCAGCTCCTCTGGTAACGGGCTCTGAAATGTGCTGCACGGGAGTGATGCAGCAGTGGCTGAAATGTGCTCTGGTGCCTGCCAGGGGCTGTGGGCTGGGGCCTCGCTGGGCACCAGGGTGCTGCCCATGGTCAGCCTGGCTTGGCCTGGGGGCTCTTCCAGCCTGCCATCTCGTCCCCTTCCCTGCAGCCTCCCTGTCGGCGCCTGTGGCAGTGGGAGAAGCACCTGGCCTGCATTCATGGGCAAAGCTCCCTCCTGGGTTGGATTAAAAGCAAGGCTGTGAACTGTAATTACGCTGCTTAGTCTCTGCCAGCAAGTGGCACTTACTAACGAGCGAATTCCAGAGCTCTTGTTATTACCAGCATGGAGGCAGGAGTCAGGACTCCAGGCTCTGTTCTGGGCTCGGCCCCGGTTCCCTGAGTCCTTTCCCCTTCCCTCTGTCCCCGGAAGCCCGACAGGGCTGATGACTGGCCTGGCTCCTGAGGTCATGCTGCTTTCCCTGCCACTCACCTGCCAAGCTCTTGGCTGGCATGACTCGAGGCACAGCGTGACCTCGGCTGTGGGTGAAGGCAGTGCTCTGATCCGCAGCCTGAGAAGCTCTCAGGAGGCTAGGTAAACCCACATCTGCCCCCAGTCCGGGCTTGCATTCAGAACCCGGCAGGTTGCCAGGGCTGGAGCTGGCACAAGGCATTCCAGGGAGCCTGGACACTGGATTGATGGTTCATACAGACCAGTGAATGTCACCGCCTGGCATGAGCTGCTGCCAACTCACACAAATTAGCAGGTGTGAATGAATGCTGGTGCCTTCCGCTTCTGCCGCGGTCCCCAGGTCATCCAGGCTCTGCCTCGGTTCTGTTGTGGGTGGAGCGTTCGCGATCTTTTCAGGGAGTGATCTTGCAGCTTGAATCACGCCTTGTGCCTTGG